ATGAATATAGTATTGTATCATATACTGCAATCAAGATTTATTAAAGAGACTTCAGTATTTAACGTTTCAAATCAGCTACAGGTTCTAAATTTTTAAACCAAAAATTTTGAGCTTTTAACATTTAGCGTTCTTTCTTTCCTTACGCTGAGAACGATCAATTTTCTTTTGACAATTGGAAAACAAGAAATGATTAAATATTTAAAACAACTATTGCGGTATTAAATTCAGTATTAAGTGAAAATTGGAGGTTAAGGATATTATACTGCAGCCTCAACGTACACCACAAAATGATGAATTAATATATCGGCTCTCAGACGCAAACACCAATAAAAGATATAGCAAAAACTCAGTGAACGACTATGATTATGGCGTCATCGATGAGGTAAAGTTGACGTTCAGCTAAATCTCTGGATTCTTGCAACTTGCTAGCATATAGTTTAAATTTTTTTCCTCTTCTAACTGTAGGTGACTGCTTAGTGCATTTACGAGAAAACATTTACTCAGTTTGAAAATAACTTAGAATAAAATACATTTTGCTTTAGTTAAAATTACTCTCAAATAAGCAGAATGTTTTGAAAAGATATTGGTGAAGTATATGCAGAGTAATGTATAATGTAATGCAGTCATTGTTGATTGTTCTGTTTAAATTCTGTTTTATGCTTTATTAGAAAATCATTTATCTTGTAAACTACATATCTTTTTTTGTTTGCCGTAATTCGTAGAATTTTGAAGTTTGTGCAAAAATTGGCTATCATTATTCTTATGTTTTTAGTTTCCTTCTGCTGTCTTCTTTGGCCTTAAAAGTTTTAGTTGCGCTTGAAAGAAAGGTCATCTGCAGTTTACTGGTGACGCATCAATTTTTTTTTGCTTTTTCAGCTTTTTTTTTTTTTTTTTAGTGAACTTAAGTAGTTGTTTTTAGTCTATGTAAGAAGCGGAACAGGAAACATGTGATCTTTCAAATTTTTTCGTCTTTTAAAGCATTAAAAAATCACTGGTTGAATAGTGAATTCTTTCTCGGCCTTTTTTTTTTTTTTTT